ACCAATCCTTCCAGAAGAAAGACTTGTTGTCACCATTCGGTAAGTACGAAACAAATAATGTTAGCGCTTAGTTATAAAAGATAAAGTTATTAGATTTATAAAAAGATTATAACTTAGATTGATTTAATCTAAGGATAATAATTCAAATACAAATTATTTATTATTCGGACCAGCGCGTGTCGGCGCTTATCGGCGCCGGTCCATAGGCCGTATACAGAAAGAAAGCCGAAAGCCGATCGGCGCTTGTCGGCGCCGATCCTTCCTACATGAAGGAAGCCGATTAAAGCAGATCAAGCAAAATGTCGGACTCATCGGACGATGATCTGGTTTTGTTAGAAATTGTGTATTTAAAAATGCGAAAAAAAGCTATACATCCTATAAATAGAGAAAGGAAACGTTTCGGAGAATACCATCATTTATTTGTAAAAAAATGAAATTTGATGAACAAAGAAATTAGACATATACAAGAATGATTCAAGAAACATTTTATTACATTTTGGATGGATGAAAAACCGTTTGATGAAAAATTGGTGCAATTGGCATAAACAACCAATCCTTCCAGAAGAAAGACTTGTTGTCACCATTCGGTAAGTACGAAAGAAATAATTTTAGCGCTTAGTTAATAAAAGACAAAGTTATTAGATTTATAAAAAGATTATAACTTAGATTGATTTAATCTAAGGATAATAATTCAAATACAAATTATTTATTATTCGGACCAGCGCGTATCAGCGCGATCAGCGCCGATCGGCGCCGGTCCATAGAAAAAGGATCGGCGCCGATCGGCTTTCGGCTTTCTTTCTGTATACGGCCTAATGCGTGTGGTCACTTCTATGTTTGACTATTTCATCCTTAATCGTTAAGATCATAGCCCTGCAACCTGTGCTCCATTTCGTGCACAGCCATCGCTGTTTAGGTCCTGGTGCCCTCTTTTTGTCAGAGTTAAGGCCATAATTATAGTCACCCAGCCGAAGCATCCTGTTACCGTTGCGGGACACCACATAGACGGCTGATCCTTGAACAAATATTATTACACAAAATATTATGAGATGATCAATTAATCATAATGGTATAATGTTATGTTTACGATTTATATATTGAAATATTGGTACCTCCAGTAACAAACACGCACAACATTTGTAACAATCACACTTTATTGTTAACATAAAAAGTTGTAATCACATCCAAGCTAATAGCCGCGTCCTGAACGAGCCAACAGCCTCATGTAGAATTAAAAAATAGAGGACTAAGAGAAGATTCCTGGAAGTTTTTTTAGAATAAATCGAACAATTAATATGAATGCAGTAGACGCAATAGCTAAACGACCTCATGTCGGTCTCTTACAAAACTGGTTATAAGCCGCGTCAGGCACGCGCTAGCTAACTCTCGATGCTGCCTCGACCTCACAGTGGCTCAGCCGAGGTGCGCGCGACAGACTTATGCCAAAAAATTGTTGACCAAGACGGGCCTCGCACGGCAAAAATCCGAGACTCCCATGCGGGGCAACCGCGCGAGATATTTCTTCGGGCAAAACGTGCCTCGCCTGCAGCAAATACACACGCTGCTTCGCCCGAGCTTGTTTCGCCCCGAGCCGAACTTTATTAGTTTTTGTCGATGCTCAAAAATGCCTCACTAAGTTTGCCGCGCGCACTTAAGAGACAAGGTTATGATTTTCCTAGTTTGTTCCACCAACAATGGAATCGTTTGCGTCATGGACAAAAAACATTGTCTTAATTTAATACAATTTTATGCCGAATGTAGACTTCTTTGGGACATGGTAACAATCCCGTTAATAGCTATAATCCGTACGGATGGAATAACGAGATTAGGTTATACCACCACGCGGGCACAGTGCGGATTGGTAGTGCTAACGACTGCAGATACAGCCAGGACCAACGGCACTTCCGAAGCACGGAAGGGCTCAAGATAATATTTTCGGTTACCCATCCTATGACCGGCCGTTGCAAAGTTGCCGTAATTGTAACGAATGATCACATTGCCTGTAGTGTATATGGCCTTGTAGCTGCTATTCCTCGTGCTTGCTTTCCCGTAATCATTGAACTTTGTTTTTTTGCTGTACTGAAACTTCCTAACTTGTTAAAAAAGAATTGATTGTGTGAAGTACTTTAGAAAAGTATTTCAAGTATGGATTAAGAACAAACAACATAATGCAAAAAAGAACATTGTTCCCTTAATAATAGTAGCGTGTGCTCGCGACTTTAATTCTAAATGAAATTATTTATTTCCCATGCAAACTTTGAATCAGTTGCTACAATAAACTCCCCTTCTGGTCAAATTTTGACTTAAAAGAGCATCAAAATCGGTTCATTAAAACGAACAGAAGTTACAGACAGACAGTTACCCTTTATTTATAATAATAATAAGTACTTATTGATAAAATTCATAGTGTTAGATAAATTATATACAGCTTTTTTTAAAGAGATCCTTTGATTTGAACTCGTTACTGTTAATTAACAAAATTCAGAATGTCATTCAGAATTATAAATCTGATGTTGTGTTCAAATTATTCATCAAAGTGTCGTTATGTCAATGATTATGTAAATCGTTGATCTTGTTGATTTTATTGGCGACAGTGACAACAGTCGCCTTGCATCCGATGGCTGCTCTTGAACAAATCCATATGGCCCTGTTTTTGTTCCTATATTTGGAGTGCTGATTGTATCTTTTATCACCAATTGTTATGACCGGATTCCCATATCTCGAAGTAGTGAAGCTAATATCTACAAAGTATGAAATAGAAGTAATAAAAAATACTTCACAGACTATTTATGCTTGCTAAAATAAAAAAAAAATCTACAATTATATCTAGCGCTACGAATTAATGCTACATTTTGATAGAACACATGTTATTACTTTAAGTAGAGTAATAATATGCAAGTTAATTTGCAAAAATAATAAGAATATTCTTAATTACTTGTAAATTTATTTCATATATCTACTTTTTCCTCTTTCTTAATAATTTAGTTATTCATTAAACTACGTACCGCAAGTTTATTGGGCTTAAATTCAAGCATACAGATTTTTACTCTCCGCGCTTCGGATTTTTTGGTTTAGCAGATGGCAACACTGAATAGCTATTCCGCTCAGCGCGCTGCTCTATACTGCACGTTAATGCTCACAGACATAGAGAAGCTACGAATTTAATGACACAGCTTGTTTCATCGCTGCGAGAAGTTATATAAGATGAGTCAACAAAACAAGAATGAGAAGATTGCTTAAAGTGGGGAAACAACTAAATAACTTAACGGACATAACTAAATTTTCACACCTACATACTGTCGAAATTCGCGTGCAGCACTTGTTGTATGTGACAGGTAGGCAGCGAATTGACGCTGCGACTGGTATTCGTATTAGCAATTCACTCTCAGCGAGTATTCGCTGTGTGTGACTGAAGCTGAAGAGCGAATCAGTCGCGTATTGTGTACCCTGTTCCCATTGCGTTAAATATTGAAGCATCCTGCAGTCGATGCACAACACAACAATAAGTGCAAATCGGCTACTTTCGCTCAAACATGATTGTGTTCATCTATAATTTTGATAATGTTGTCGTTGACGGTGATGATGGTGGCCCTGCAGCCTGATCCGGTCCCTGTGCACACCCACCGCACTTTGTACTTATTACAGTACTTGTGGTACATGTTGTACCTTCTGCGCCCGACTTGGATCCTGGGCTTGCCAAACCGGGATGCAGTCCATATGAAACCCAGAGGAAAAAATTGTCAATCCAACTACAACTCAAAACTTGTCAATGCAGAAAACTTTAAAATAATAAAAACTGAAACTTCCCCAACCCCGAGATAGGCTAACTGTCATGCGAAATCGTGAATGTACTGTCTGAAAGCATGAAAGCATACTTACAAGTAAATTTCAGGCTTTACGTGTCGGCGAATAGATATAGTGATATTCGGGATCAATCACAATAATTAAGACATTATTATGTTTTAAGTAATTTTATTCACACTACATAACAGTAATTACACAAAAAAATTATATTCCCTAATCGCTTATTTAATATATAATATATAAACACAGAATAAATTTAACTTAATTACTTACGAAGTGTTTTGTCTCTATTCAGTGAATTAAAAATGCCTTTTGAGAAATGTAAACAGCATAACTAGTTCAAGCTAAGACAAGCTATTAATAAGGGGATAGGTAAGGACCGACGCTAAAAGATCTTGTAAATCTGTGTAGATAGCCCCAGGAATATATCTGTGAAAGTTATAGATAATGTCGCATCTAATAGCGTTTAAAAAATTGCTTGCCTAAAAAAATACAAGCAGTACTACATTTTCCGACGTCCACGCGTACGAATCGCGGGCACAGCTAGTAATAAAAATGTATGATATTGGGGTTAATTAAGTACTTACACAATAGGTAGATTTAAAATAAGTAGGCTTCTTCTCTCATATAGCCAATAAATATACACACACACACAAAAGCAAGCATATATCCACACTTGCAAATATTTTAATTTAAATAGATATTTAAGTATTACGTATCTAGTGAACCCGCATTTAAAGATGAATGGCGACGGCTAACGATCAATTTCCTTTCTTTTGTTCAGTTATAAAAATCAATAAGGCTTTGTAATGTGTAATGTAATATTAATAAGTATATTATGTATTCTCGCTTATAATTTGAGGTAGTTCATAATTAAAATTGTATTGTACAAAAGAAAATGCGACGAGCATACGGGCTTTCAGAGTCGTACTCGTAACACAGGTATATTCACCTAGTAAAATCTCCAGTTCTCTCAAAGAACTGCATTGTTTTTATTATTTTGTCATTCATAGTAATTGTATTGTCTCACAAAGTAATGTTACTTTGTGAGACAATACAATTAGAGTTAATAAAAATCATTCATTTAAATGTGAAAGTTTGTATGTTTGTTACACTCATTTACATTTAAGTTGCTGAAAGGATTAGGATGAAATTTGGAACGCATATAGTTCATGACCTGGATGTGAAAATATAATGTTCAATAATGATTGTGTTGGTTCGTCACTTTGATTATGACACCGTTGTCAGTAATGATACCAATCTTGCAGCCAGATTTCTTCTTGGTGCACACCCATCTTGTCCTGGGTTCTTTACTGCGATGATATTTATTGAAGCGATGATTACCCAAATGCATAACTGGATTGCCGTGAATCGTCGTAGTGAATATCGGTGAGATTGAATAATTGTACACTGTGAACAAACGCTTCAGATATTGAAGGTGAACATACATTCGTTAGGTCAAACTTATTTAGACACTTAGGAAAACAATAAGGATAATTATTATGATATTAACATAGGATATTTGCGTTTAAGTTGAGAATCATTGGGTATAATTGTGAAATAACTTTACCCCATGAAATACATTCCAATCGATATCAAAAATAAAACTATCGTTGTGGTACTTTTAAATGGTCATATATTTTGTACAAATGACATTTTAGCTTTCGCCAAAATTATCAATTTTCTTTCGTGTTTCCCTGTAAGATGATAGGCTTTTACTCAACGGAGAAAATTTACTAGAATAAAATCATTAGAATTTTCATCTAGCAGTTAATTATTAAAAAAATAAAATAACCAATGTTTAATACTGGAAAGGTACTTATTTGACATTGAGGGTTATAGATCGCGCCAAACTTCTAGTCCACTCTAAAGTTGTTTCGCGCAGGTGTACAGCCTTAAACACAACCTTCGTCCCTTTAAATACGAGTTATTTGTTACTTCGACGCGAATTGTGCAGTGTTCAGAGCGGAGTAGAAGATTGGCGCGATCTATACCTATAATGCGAAGAGATGGCACTGCCTTACAGCCTAACAAATGCTAGAGAAAATTCGACACTGACAATTAGGGCCGCGGTAGCATAATGCTCAGTGCATCCGCCCGGTTAACGGAGGGTGCGGTTTCGAGTCTCGTCTGCTGCCTGATTCGCGTGGATTTTTTTGTAGTAAAATTTTCTTCGGACTTTAACACTTCCTCCATCTTTTCTAATTTTACTTTTATTTCGAGTCTAACATGGTATCACCGTTAGCCAGATGGAATTTTACAAGCTAGAAATTATAACAGCAGCAGTAAACTAATGATTATGATTATTCATGATCTTGACTATTTTGTTATCAATGGTAATGATACCGCCGTTGCAGCCTCTGCTTGTCTTAACGCACACCCATCTCAACTTCGGTCCTTTGCATCGATGATATATATAGTATCTGTGTCGACCCAATAGCATTAGTGGATTGCCGTGAATGGTTTCAGTGAATACGGGTATTTCTTCTGTAAAGAAAAGCACTTCAGTAACTTAATTGGGTTTTACTAAGATACTTAGGTATTTAATCCATTTTCTAACAATAATGTTTTATAGTTCTACTAGGGAATGCTCGCAACTTTGTTTGCGTGGCAAAAATTTGTTTCTCATACAAACTTTCATCGCCCTTTTAACCCTCTTAATGGATGACATCAGTGCCCTTAGCACATACCAATATCGAATTCGTAACGTTTGCGAGTCCGAAATATCATTGTCATATGTGTACTGATTTTTAGTTCTCGTTACGTACATTGTGGCGCTGCTGTTCAAGTTTCCATACAAAATTTGACATTGACATTTCGCACTCGCAGACTATTCGAATTCGATGATGGTTCAAGCTACTCGTACGTACAGCTTGTACGTTGTAGGGGTACTGTACCCTTAGCACGAACCGATATCGAATTCGAATAGTTTGCGAGTGTGAAATTTCATTGTCAAATGTGTACTGATTTTTAGTTTTCGCTACGTCCGATATGGCGCTGCTGTTCAAGTTCCATACAAAATTTGACATTGACATTGCGCACTCACAAACAGACGATAATACGGAAGACTTTATAAGGTATTGAGTCTTTGTCATCAATTTGGAAAAGTTCGTGTCGTATTCCCGTAACTCATTATAGAACGAATAAAATGCACCTTTTGTAGTAAGTTCTCGTAACAATGGATGTATCCAAAATCCAAAATGTTTTCGTTTTTTATTAAAAAGTAAAGAAATGTTATTTCTTCGACATCTATTTAAAAATGAGCTCGTTTAGTAGAGAATAGCGCACACAGGCGCTTCATAGCTAGCCGCTAGGGGTTGCGGACCGGTCGCGCGCGGCTTGTCGCTTGATGAAAATACGGTCTACAAACTGACATTGGTCCGCCTTTTGGAATAAGGTGGCTGGAGACGTGTTTTCTAAAGGGAAGCTCTTTATGAGCACTTTTTAAAACTGAAGCTTAGCTCGGTGGTAATCATGCTCTAAATCTAAACCAAGAGTTGCAAGGGCTCCCGGATTTACAGGAGATCTCCTGTTTTCTCAAATGTCTCCTATTCTTCTGTTTCTCTACATGAATCTACTGTTATTCTTAAAACAGTTTTTCTTTTTTAAATTACGTGAAACGCAACGTAAAATGCGTTACTCGAGTCACCTGTGCAGTGCTTTTCCGTTTCCGCCGTTAAGAATGTTACCTTAGATATAATACAATAAATATGAATTTATTACAAAAACGAGCTTTGAGGGGCGGAAGAAACTATAGAAATATTAATTTGTTGCTGGACTGTATTTGATTTTCCAAATCTTGGGGAGCAAATCGAAAAAAAATAAATTCCGCCCTCTCATCTACTGTTTTTTCTTGCAGCTCTTTCCATACATTTACTGTTTTTTTCCTAGAACGCCTCTCGATTATTGAAAAGTGGACCTGGCAACACTGTGGAACACGTTAAATGATAATTAAACTGTTTAAGAGAGATTATATATGTACCTACCTATTTTTATTGTACTTTAATTTTCTTTAATATTATTATCCCACTAAACTATTCTATTTTTTTTATCTAATTTTGTTTTAATATCCCAAATAAAATGAAGCTGATGAAAAGTTACGACATTCTGTTATTGTAAGCGGTACGAAGTTCGCCGAGTCACCTAGTATTTTATGAAAAATACAGTCAATGCATGTTCAACATAATTATATTTAAAAAAAATGTCTTAGAATTATAATAAAATCTATATAAATCAAGTAATACAAAAAATGAAAATGTAGCAAAAAAGTTGATTTCACCTGATCATTTACTTGATCAGGCATCATTTTATAAGGCTTAAAATCTAATTGACAGTAAATATTAATATCTTTCTCACTCTCTGTGCAAAAGGAATTCTCCAAAATCCTTAACACTGGCCGATAAACACAGTTTTTTTTAATTCATAATTTTCTAACAACTAATAAAAATTAACGTAATAAAAGAAAAACATAAATTCCATAAAAACTTAACACAACGAGAAAACTTATATTATAAGAGAAAAACGAAAAATCAAGAGGATAAAATAACATCCTAGTTGACAGATTATCTCAGTGTATAACATCTGTCTTAAGTGTGAGTGTAAGCTTTTCTTTTGTTTCCACTCAAGCATGACATCATCGGCTTAACAAAAATTTAAGTATGTCCTGAATAGTTCGAGAACTATATCCGAGTTTGATAACTCCAGTTTGAGATATTAAATAAATGCCATGCCATTAGCCATCATAGAGTAAGATCCTAAGGCCCTCAGACCTTATTTGTTTTCTGATGTATAAAATATGGATAATCGAGTAGTATAAGCGTGTACAATGAACGTATAAATACTCGCTAATTTGTGTTGTGAACCAATTTTCAGATATCAGATAGCATAGGTACGTTAAAATTTTACTCACTTTACTTACAGTCTGAGGACTGATTCTTACATATGTTTTAGAGAATATTATTAACAATTTGAAATTAATACTGCCAGACACTGGCAAGGGGCAATCTAGGCGCAAGGGGCAATCTAAGCGTAAGGGGCAATCTAGGCGCATGGAGCGGGCGGTTCGGTCAATATCGGCTTGTCTCTAGACACCTTTCTATCGAGTGTTCCGACTATTTATTGAGCTTAACACACGCGTTAATAATTGCCCCAGTACTATCATAAAATCAAAAGATCGGAATAGCGTTGGCTCTTTCGTTACCGCAAGTCAGGTTGTCAGGTTCGCTAAATGTTTCAAATACTTAGTCCAAAAGTTTGCAGTCTCATGTTACGGTCAAAATAAAGTTTCCTTTTTTATCCAAAATGTGGGGCTGCGGTTATATACTTCTAGCAATCGCGTGCAAACTTGATGCTATTATGATCTGCCGTCATCTTAATCGAAACATCGGGAATCTAGGGACAAAGGATGGTCTTGCGCTCCTGCCGCTCTGCCGCAGGTCAATCTAGAAAATTTTCCATGCTTGCCTACACACATCAAAATTAAAAAGGCAGTTAAGGCTTATACCCACTCTTACACCCTAGATTGCCCTTGCAGCAGGTAAGTGACAAGGCGGCTTTACACTGCTAAATGTCACAATATTTGACAATTGTCAAATGTTTAAATAAATGAGTTCTAAATTGAGATTTTCTCTTACAGAATCGACTTCTTGTGCACTAATGATTATGTTTGCCCGTCATCTTGACTATACTGTTATCAATGGTAATGATAGAAACTTTGCAGTTTTTACTGTGGCTAGAGCTCTTGCTGCACACCCATCTCAATTTCTGTCCTTTGCTTCGATGATATTTATTGAATCTGAATCGACCTAGATGCATTACTGGATTACCGCGTGCGGTTTTAGTGAAAACAGGTTTTTCTTCTGTAAAGACCAAAAGTGAAAATCACTAAATTACCGAAATCATAAAATCAAACAGTAAGTTCAAAACAAATAGAGTAACTAATAGTAAATTAGGTGCGTAGTAACAGCAACGTTTTATTTAAAAAAAACATCCCATTTAGGTAACGTATGTAATTGAAAAACGTCTGCACTGTGGACTTTGACGTCACTAACATTTTTTTTCACAACTCTGTGTTGGTTTGGTGGACATTTCGTGGACGAAGCGAGGGCGAGTGTACAGGCAGATGGCACGTCCTCATACCAAATCAGGAGCCTTAGACAAAGTAACAATTAAAAAAAACGATAACGAAATTAGAAAATAATAAAATGTATGAAATTGACATAAAACCCGCTAAATCATGTGGTCAATCGTCATTGTCATCGGAAGTTGGTAGACAATGTTACAATTCGTAACGAAACGTCAAAGTAAAGAATTGTTTGAACGCCTAATCCCACACAAATGCAAAGTCAAAGTCAAAAAAAACTATTAAAATTGGATGCTCAATACAAATGAGTAAACAAGCAGCACTTTTAACGTTCGCCTTCGTTACGATCACGATCGTCGAAAACAATAACAAAACGAATGCCAGGAAGTTGTAGATAACAAAATATTATTGCCGATTTCATTCATCAGTTGTGATTTTGACTAGTTGTATTTATTGCAGATCAAAGTGAGAATGTATTTTTTAAGTGTACATAATGAGAAAAAAATGAGGATATGCCAGAATTGTTGCTAATCCAACATTTCAGGCTTAATACAATCACATTTATATTTACATACGCTGTTATGTGACGACCTTAAAGATCATACCAGTTTA